TCATACTTGACTGTTACTTGTTTTGTTTTGAGACAGGGTTTCTCTGTGTAGCCCTGACTGTCCTGGAACTTGCTTTTTAGACTAGACTGGCTTCAAACTCACAGAGATCTGCCTGCATCTACCTCTCTAGAGCTGGGATTAAAGGTGTGAGCCACCACCACTTAGCACACATAAACTCTTCCACTTACCTGTATCCCAAAGCCCTTTTTGCCTTTTAGAGATAAGGGTCTAACTTACCCAGGCTGGTGTTGAACTCCTCTGTAGCTCAAATTGACCTTGGTATCATCCTCCTGTCTCCACATCTCTAGTGCTGGGATTGAAGATAAGTACTCACATCTGACCCAATCTATACCTTTTAATGAGCGTAAATGATGATGGGAAGGGCTGCAGCTTTTAGAAAACTAACCTCAGTGTCTGGATAATCCAGTCAAAATTGTTGTTTCTTCTCTATAAAAGATGAAAGTTGCCAGGCAGTGGTGGCACATGCCTTTAATTCCAGCACTTGGGAGGCAGAGGCAGGCAGAGGCAGGCAGATCTCTCTGAGTTTGCAGCCAGCTTGGTCTACAAAGATAGTTGAAGGACAGCCAAAACTATAGAGAAACCCTGTCTCAAAAAAAAAAAAAGGGAAAAAAGAGGAAGAAGAAATAAAAAATATAAAGAGTTCTATGTTTTAATTTAGGCAGGTGGATCTCTGAGTTCAAGGTAAGCCTGGTCTACAGAGTAAGTTCTAGGACAGCCAGGGCTGCACAAAGAAATCCTGTTTCAAAAACAAACAAAAGCTACACTAGACAGTGAGTCTTAAAAGATGTGGACATTATTCATTTATGTGTTTGTTGAGACAGGGTCTCACTGTATTTACCTGACAGGCCTCCAACTTGGATCCAGAAACCCGCTTGCCTCTGCCACCCACCCCCATAGCCTAGTGCTAGGATTAAAGGCATAGCTCACCATATCCTGGTAATTAAAATCTGGAAGCACAGGTCCATAAAAATACTGAGATCTGTACTCTGAAAACTACGAATTCACACATTTTCGTGACAAGCTTTTCTGCATGGAATTACTAAGATGGCTAAGGACCGTTTTCAGTGCTATAACCCACAATTAAAACAAGAGCTAGCATCTTATGAAGTGGTGCTGGAATCATGAATTTCCAAATAAGGTTGATAAAATAACTTTGTGATGGCACATGCCTTTGTTTCCAGCACTCATAAAAACAAGAAGAGGAGGGGCTGAAGAGAAGCTTCAGCCAAAAAGGACATTTGTTCTTTTTTACAGAGGATCCAGGCTCAGTTACCAGCACTCACATGGCGGTTTGTAACCATCTGTAACTTTAGTTTCTGGGGATCTGATGCCCTCTTCTGGTACCAGGCCACACGTGATGCACACACATTTAGGTGAAACACTGAGAAGTTTTTAGTTTTTGAGATGGTATTAAGACGGCTCGGGCTGGAGAGATGGCTCAGTGGTTAAGAGCATTGCCTGTTCTTCCAAAGGTCCTGAGTTCAATTCCCGGAAACCACATGGTGGCTCACAACCATCTATCTGTAATGAGGTCTGGTGCCCTCTTCTGGCCTGCAGACATACACACAGACAAAATATTGTATACATTATAAATAAATATAAGAAAAGAGTTTAAAAAAAGAATCTTTTTTTTTAAAGATTTATTTATTTATTATGTGTACAGCATTCCTTCCATGTGTGCCCACATTTCCAGAAGGGGGTGCCAGGTCTCATTATAGATGGCTGTGAGCAACCATGTGGTTGCTGGGAATTGAACTCAGGACCTCTGGAAGAACAGTCAGTGCTCTTAACCACTGAGCCATCTCTCCAGCCCCCCCCCCTCCAAAAAAAAGAATCTTAAAAAAAAAAAAAAGATGGCTCAGTGTTTAAGAGTACTATTGCTCTCGCAGACGACCCAGGTTTGGTTCCCAGCCCCCATATGGCAGCTCACAACCATCTGTAACTCCAATTCCGGGGGACCTTTGCAGGTATGGCACGTACATGGTGTATATTCATACATGCAGGCAAACACTCATAGACAGTAAATAAATAAATCTTAGCCAGGAGTAGTGGCGCACGCCTTTAATCCCAGCAATCGGAAGGCAGAGGCAGATAACGGGAGTGCACCATCAGGGCCAGCCTGGTCTACGTGGGATAACAGGGGTGTCATCAGGGCTAGCCTGGTCTATGTGGGATAAAAGGAGTGTGCCACCATGACCACAGTTGCTTTCTTTTTACTTTTTTTTTTTTAGATTTATTTATTATGTAAACTGAGGTTTGTCTGCATGCATGCCTGCAGGCCAGAAGAGGGTACTAGATCTCATTATAGATGGTTGTGAGCCACCATGTGGTTGCTGGGAATTGAACTCAGCACCTTTGGAAGAGCATGCACTGCTCTTAACCTCTGAGCCATCTCTCCAGCCTGCTTTCATTTTACTTTTGAGATAATATCTCACTAAATTGTTTTGACAGGTCTTGGGATCTTTCTGCCTCCTCAGAGGCAGAAGACCCGGGATTACAGGCGTTGGAATACCTAGCTCAACTTGACCTATTTTTATGTTGTCTTTAAACTTTTATTTATGTGGGACATTAAAAATCCCTTTTTGAGAAGGTGTGTCATAGCCCAGCTAGGCTGTCTTGTCACGTACTGTACAGTCCTCCCTCCCCTCAACTGACCTCAGATTTGTGATCTTCCTGGTTCCACTTCCCCAGCACTGGGTTACAGGTGTGTAGGTGTCGCGCACCAACCTTAATGTGGTGGTTGGTTTCATTTGTTTTGTTTTTGTTTTCTAAGGAGAGGTCTCACTGTGTAAACCTGGCTGACCTGGAACTCACCATGTAGACCAGGCTGGCCTAGAATTAATAAAGATCTACCCTGCCTCCTCCCTGTGCTAGGATTAAAAGCATGTCCATCTGCTCCTTTCCCCTTCCTCTGACTCCCCCCTCACCTTAATGTGTTTCCTGATTACAAAAATTATATAGGTTTATTTTTAGAAGAGGTAGAAGTGATAATGCAATAAATCATCAATCCTAATGAATATTAATACTCAGATACATTCTTCTTTTAAATATTTATTATGTATGCAATATTCTGTCTGTGTGTATGCCTGCAGGCCAGAAGAGGGCACCAGACCCCATTACAGATGTTGTGAGCCACCACGTGGTTGCTGGGAATTGAACTCAGGACCTCTGGAACACCAGGCAGTGCTCTTAACTGCTGAGCCATCTCTCCAGCCCTCAGATACATTCTTTAACAAATGTATTGAACTAGGTGTAGTGGTGCACACATTTATACCAGCACTCAGGAGGCAGAGGCAGGTGGATCTGCATGAGTTTGAGGCCTGCCTAGTCTACATAATGAATTCCAGGAGAGCCAGGACTATGTAATAGACAGACCCTGTCTCGAAAAAAAAAAAAGTTTAATTAAAAAAATTGTTGAGATAGGGTTTCTCTGTGTAGCCCTGGCTGTTCTGGTAACTTGCTCCATAAACCAGGCTGGCCTCAAACTCAGAGGTCCACCTACTGCGGTCTCTGGAGTGCTGGGACTAAAGATATGCAGCACCATGCCCGGCGGTTTTAAATACTTACTGAGTTCCCTCACTGGACTGTGCATATAGTCTGTATAGGACTGTGACTGGTATAGAACAGTGAAGATAGAAGTCAGGCAGTGGTGGCACACGCCGTTAATTCCAGCACTTGGGAGGTAGGGGCAGGTGGATTTCAGTGAATTTGAGGCCAGCCTGGTCTACAAAGTGAGTTCAGGACAGCCAGTTATACAGAGAAACGCTGTCTCAAAAAACAAAAACAAAAAAAAAAGTGAAGAAATATACACAACTGTTCTTCCTCACTGTATAAAATGCAGAGTAGTAAATACACAAATATAATAACCATAATAAGGAGACAACCAAGTATTAAAACACACAAATATACTATACCATAATAAGGAGTCAATTCTTGGAGAAGGAACCATCACCATTGAAAACCCAAGAATGGGTAGGAAGCCAGTTACATAATTGGAAGGGGAAGGGAGACTTTCACTCAGGGAAAAACAAGTGCAAATCCTCTGAAGTAAAAGCAGCTACCGTGTGGTAGGGAAACTGAAATTTGTGGCTGAGATGCAGAAAATGAGGTAGAAGGCTCAAGATACGACTTGTTGTAGGCAGGGCCCAGATGTTGGAGTTCTGTTTGGGACCTTTCAGTGTCTGAATATTTATTTTCACACGGTGGTGACTTGGTCAGATCTGGTTTCCTTAAAGATGTCTTCGCTGAGCTCTGTGGAGGAAGCCTTGTTGAGAGCACAGTCGGACATATTGAGTGTGGAAATCCGGGATGGCTATCCTTCACAGGCTAGAATGAGAGCGAAGATAAATGAAATATGCGTAATCATGTGTTTAAAAAAGTATCCAGGGCTGGGTGTGTGGCTGTTTGTAAAGCTTGTCTAACAAGCAGAAGTCCTCGGTTGAATCCCCAGCACCACATAAATATGGTGAGCTGGCAAAGTCTATAATCTCACCATGCGGTGGTAGAACAGACGGATCCAAAGGTTAATGTCACTGGGCAAACGCGTTGATCTGTGCCTTTAATACCAACGCTTGGATTTGCAAATACAGGAGGATTTCTGTGAGTTCAAGGTCAGCCTGGGTTACGAGGAACAGAGAAGACCAAGAAAACCAAAGACGGAGCTAGGGTCCCACCACCCAGTAAGCTAACTAAATTACAGACAGGAAGAAGTCACCAGAGCCCAATCGAGGCTCAAGCCCAGTACGTGGTTGTAGGCGCGGAGTCTGCACAGTAGAGGGCAATCAAGTCTCAAAGCTTCCCGCCTGTGCACAGCCTAGACAAAACCCCCAACCCCCTTGGCGGGCGAAGCTACTTTTTTCCACATCCGGTCGTCCCTCACGCTACCTCTTGAGACGCGGAGCCCACTTCCCCCGTCGTTCCCGCCTCTTCCGTGTTTTGGTGCGCACGGGTTCCGTCCGACGCAGCGGCCATTGGCTGTCGGCCGACTCGAAAGCAGCGATTGGCTGTCGCTGGTCGTCTCGCAAACGCCTCCGGGTATATGGTGTGAGGTGGGTGGGGCGCGGGCAGCCCCGCGGCGCTGGCAGGTGAGTAGGGGGAACTGCTTCGGTGGCTTGGCGGCCGAGGCGACTCTCTGGCGTCTGCCAGAGGCTCGGCTTCCTGGAGCGGCTCGGCGAGGCATCCGAACCGGGCCTCGACCTCCGCGCTCACGGTCAAGGGGTCGCTGCGGCTCGACTCGGTAAGCGCCACGCTTGGCGCCGGGGTTTCCGAGAAGTCCTCCAGGCTGGGCGCCCCGGGACCGTCTCCTTCCTCCCCGGAGTTCTAGCCGCCTAGGGGAGCCTTCCCCGGAGGCCTGCCTACCGTGTCCTGATCGCCCTCGTCGGCGCGCTTTGTTTTGGTTACCGTGTTCAGCCGTGAGCTCCTCGTCCCTGAGTCCTTGCTGAGGACCTAGGCTTTTCTTTTTCTGGATTACGGCTCGGAGTTCATTGGTGCCGAGCGACACTATGTACTGTCTTGTTGACGGGATGGTTTCGTACTGTGACTACCGATGAAATGTAAGAAACGTTAGGTAGGGATCCTGAGGGTAGGTACCAACCCCCCTCCCCAGTCAGCTCAGAAACAAGGATACATACGTGTAGTTGAGCCCGAGTAATGTGTTGGGCCTTCATGGGTTAAGTAATTTAAGGTCAAAACTAAGGAGTTTGGTTCCATTTTCCTTCTCCATCATTTGTCTGATCCTCTCTCCCCACAGACATAACCATATACATAATGTATAGTACGTGGTAGCTTTCTGTTTTTGAGACAGTCTTTGTAGCTTTGGCTGACCTGAAACTCTAAAGAGATCCCGTCTCAAAGGCCAGCACCACCACCCCAAACCTCACCACCCTCTTTAAAGAAAATTAATGTGAGTGTGTGTGTGTGTGTGTGTATTATGATGGGCACACATATGCTAAGGTGGAGTACAACTTTATGGAGTCGATTCTTTCCACTTCTATATGGGTTCTTGGGGTCAAACTCAGGTTGTCAGGCTACTGTAACATGCATTTTTTTCCCCCACTGAGCCCTCTCTGTTTTGTGGGGTATTGTTTGTTTTGTTTTTTTGAGACACAGTTTCTCTGTGTAGTTTTGGCTGTCCTGGAACTTGCTTTGTAGACCAGGCTGGCCTCAAACTCACTGAGATCTGCCTCTGCCTCCCGAATACTGAGATAAACGGTGTGGACCACCACCCCCAGGCTTCACTGAGCTGTCTCCTGTTCTGCAGATCAGCCCTGGTTTTTCTTTTTTTTTTTAAATATTTATTTATTATTTATTTTTATTTTATTTATTTTTTTTTTGGTTTTTCGAGACAGGGTTTCTCTGTGGCTTTGGAGCCTGTCCTGGAACTAGCTCTGTAGACCAGGCTGGTCTCGAACTCACAGAGATCCACCTGCCTCTGCCTCCCGAGTGCTGGGATTAAAGGCGTGCGCCACCATCGCCCGGCTTTATTTATTATTTATTATGTATATAATATTCTTTCTGTGTGTATGCTTGCAGGCCAGAAGAGGGCACCAGACCTCATTACAGATGGTTGTGAGCCACCATGTGGTTGCTAGGAACCGAACTCAGGACATCTGGAAGAGCAGGCAATGCTCTTAACCTCTGAGCCATCTCTCCAGCCCAGCCCTGGTTTTTCAAGACAAGGTTTCTCTGTAGCTTTGGAGCCTGTCCTGGAACTAGCTCTTGTAGACCAGGCTGGCCTCGAACTCACAAAGATCTGCCTGCCTCTGCCTTGCGAGTGTTGGGATTAAAACAAAGGCCAGCTGGAATCTTCATTTTAATATTAAAGGAGTGATGGGGTCGAGCATTGGGCAGGCAAAGCAAAGTCAGTTTGTATGGCATCGAAAGTCTGGCAAGAGATACAATGACCTACTCTAGTAAGGAATGGAAAGCTTCTGGGTCCATGTGGGCTCTATGGAGTAAGAATATGAGCTTCGGGCTCAGCCTAACCTGACCTACCATCATTAGGTGGCCTTGGATAAATCAGTTCATCTTTGTCAGCTTCAGGTTTTCCATTAGGTTTAATAGTGCCTACCTCATAGGGTAGTGTCAACAATTACATGATGCAAATAAAATGCTTAATATGAGACTGGAGAGGAAGTCAGTAAAGTGCTTGCTTCACCAACATCAGGAGGCCCTGGGTTTGATCTCCAGAGCCCACGTTTTAAAAAGTTCAGTAGCTGGTAGTGGTGGCGCAGGCATTTAATCCCAGTATTCAGGAGACAGAGGCAGGCAAATCAGGGTCAGCCTCATCTACATGGTGAGTTTCAGGACAGCCCGAGGTACAAGATATAGAGAGACCCTATCTTGTATAAAGGTCAGTGAGTCCCTGTAATCCTGCCTCTGGGAAATGGACACAGTAGGATCCTTGGAGCTCACTGGTCAGCCAGTCTATCCTACTTGGTGAGCTCCAGGCCCTCAACAGCAAACAAACAAAACCCTCAGAGGATTGATTCCTAAGGATCCATGCAGGTTGCCCCTTCACACACATACTGCTTACTATGGCAGGGCCTAGTGAGACAAACCTGTAATCCCAGCTACTTGAGAGTCTGAGGCAGAAGGATTGCAACACTTTAGGCTACAGATGAGTTTAAGGCGAGACTGGTCCACTTAGGGAAAACCCTGTCCCAAAATACCCTGTGTAAGGTTCTAGATTCAATCTTCAGTATCAAAAATACTCAAAACAACATTAAAATAGTGTTTTTTTAAACTTATTTACTCTTATTTCCTACACAATGTCCTACTTGCATGTATGTGTGGATCCCTTGGAACTGGAGTTTCAGACATCTGTGACCAGCCATGAGGATGCTGGGAATTGAACCCTTGGGTCTTCTGGAAGAGCAGCCAATATTCTTAACCACTGAGCCATCTCTCCAGGCCCTCAAGATTTATTTTTACTTTAATGTGTTTGGTGTTTTACCTACACGGATGTCTGCATCACATGCCAGCAATGCCATAGAAGGACAAAAGAGAGTGTTGCAGCACCTGGAACTAGAGTTACAGATGGTTGTGAGCAGCCACATGGGTGCTAGGAATCTATCCCAGGTCCTCTGGAAGAGAGTCAGGGCTCTTAACCACTGAGCCATCTCAAGCCCTACCAAAATACAAAATAGTATTGTATTTAGGGCTGGACTGATAGCTCAGTGGTTAAGAGCTGTCACGGCCACCCTCGTCCCGCAAGGATGACACGACCACCGGAGCTCTTCTCACTGCAGTTTATTCCAGGACTTTTTACACTTCTCTCTCTCTCTCCTTTTTTCCTCTCTCCGTTGACCTCTCTCCTCTCTCCTTTTTTCCTCTCTCTCCTTGCAAACCTCTCCCAGCCTTAAGTAGGCACAGGCTGCCAATCCCGGATTGCCAGGTGGGCACTGCCCATAGGCCCACGCATATGCAAGCAGTTGATAATCATTGCGTGATCATAGCATAGGTCAGTCCTTAGCTCTCTCAGGAGTTGATTATACATCTCCATCAGGTTTGACACCACACAGCTCGCTACAAAGAGTACTGATTGTTCTTCCAGAGGTCCTGAGTTCAATTTCAAGCAACCACATAAAGTGGCTCATGGCTCTCTCCAATGGGATCTTATGCCCTCTTCTGGACTAAAGGTGTACATGCAGATAGCACACTCATACATAAAATAAATAAAGTGTTTAAAAAAATAAATAGTATTGTATTTGATGTATAGTAAGTGTGAAATTCAGAAAAAAGTTTTGTTATTCCTGTTTCTAGCAAAACCAGACAGCTCGTAGGTGATAGGCCTCTCTTTGAAACTGAGTATTGTTTATCTCCCATGGGTATATGCTCTGAAGCTATTTAAGAAAATGTTAAAATGTTTAGCTTAGTGTTTGTCATGTGCTCAGTATTGTCTCTTCCCAGGAAATCAGACAGCCTCCAGGGCTTGAGAAACTGCTGGTCCATCCTTACTGAGAAGAGCACAGGATACTGAAGAATACCGACTCTCAGCAGGCTGCCATTTCTTTGCCTCCAGCAGCACCGGACTACAATCTTACAACTCTGGATTTCTTCCCCTTGCTCTAAGATAAAGGCCATGTCACCTCCTGGAAAAGGTCCCCGGAAAGAGAACCTGGGGCTCCAGTGTGAATGGGGGTCCTGCTCCTTTGTATGTTCAGCCATGGAGGAGTTCTTCGAGCATGTCACTCAGCACCTGCAGGAACACGTGCATGGCTCCAAGGAGGAGGAAGAAGAGGACCCACTTGGTAAGGGAACAGGAAAGAGCTCAGTGCAGGTGGGAAGTCAGACTCCTAGAGAAAGAGGGCGGCTCGGGAAACAGTGCTTTAGATTCGTTCATAAAAACATTATGAAGTCGTCAGATCTTGAGAATTCAGTCAGTGAAAATGTAAAGGATGATCACCATTAGAAGCAATTTGTCATGGGGGGGCACATGCATATCAAGTATGGAGAGCATAGGGCATCTTGTAGGAGTCAGTTGTTTTCTTCCACTGTTATAGGTCCCATGTCAGCAAGCTTGACACTTGCTCCTTTACCTGCTAAACTGTCTTTTCTTTTTGTTAGTGGAAAGCTGTTTTTTTTTTTTTTTTTTGGTTTTTCGAGACAGGGTTTCTCTGGCTTTGGAGCCTGTCCTGGAACTAGCTCTTGTAGACCAGGCTGGTCTTGAACTCACAGAGATCCGCCTGCCTCTGCCTCCCGAGTGCTGGGATTAAAGGCGTGTGCCACCATCGCCCGGCTTTTTTTTTTTTTTTTTTTTTGAGACAAGGTTTCTCTATGTAGTTTTGGAGCCTATCCTGGAACTTGTTTTGTAGACTAGGCTGGCCTCGAACTCACAGAGATCATTTACCTGCCTCTGCCTCCTAATTGCTGAAATTAAAGGCATGTGCTACCATTGCTTGACCTGCTAAACCTTACCTTGCTGGACCTCTTCTCTTAAACTTTTTTTTTTGGGGGGGGGGCACATTTATTTGTTTATTTTGTGTGTATGTAATGTGTGAGCACACCATAGCATATGTGTAGAGGTCAGAGGACAACTTGTGAGAGTCTATCCTTTTCTTCTACCATGTAGGTTCTGAGGATCAAAACTCAAATTAGTAGGCTTGGCAGTAAGTGCCTTTACCTGGTGAACCATCTTTCTTTGTTTGTTGAGGCAGGGATTCTCTGTATAATAGCCCTGGCTATCTTGGAACTAGCTCTTGTAGACCAGGCTGGCCTCAAATTCACAGAGATCCGCCTGCCTCTGCCTCCCGAGTGCATTCTATCAATTTTTTTTTTTTTTTTTTTTTTTTTTAAGACAGTGACTCCTTGTATTCTTTGCTGGCATGAAATTCACTATGTAGACTATGATCTTAGTGTTGAACTTAAAGGTGTCCGGCTACCTGTGCCTCCCAAGTACTGGGATTAAAGGTGTGTGTCACCACATCCAACCTCCCCTTCTTTTTTTTTTTTTTTTTTTTGTTATTATTTTTGTCCTGGACCTTGTTCTGTAGATCACGCTAGCCTCTAATTCATAGAAATTTGCCTGCCTCTGCCTCCCAAGTGCTGGGATTAAAGACATAGACCACCACCGTCCACCTTTCCCTTTTTATTAACTTAATTATTTGTAATATTTATTTTGTTTTATGTGTCTAAATTTTTTTAAATTTTTATTTTAAAATTTATTTATTAAGTATACAGTGGTCTGCCTGCATGCATGCCTGCAGGCCAGAAGAGGGCACCAGGTCTCATTACAGATGGTTGCTGGGAATTGAACTCAGGATCTTTGGAAGAGCTGGCAGTGCTCTTAACCACTGCCCCTCCAGCCCTTGTGTCTAAATGTTTTACCTTCATATATGCATGTATACCATGAGTGTGCCTGGTGCCTACAGAGATCAGATGAGGATGTTGAATTCCTTTGAACTAGAGTTATGGTTGTAAGCCAACATATGGGAACCAAAATCAGGTCCTCTGCAAACGCAACAAGTACCCTTAACACTTGAGCCATTCTCTGCCCCTGTTTACTGCTGAGACAGATCTCAGTAATTCAGTCTAGCTTCATACCACCAAAGTCCTCCCAAATGCTGGGATTTCTAGCATGAGAAACAGGTTTTGGAGCAATTTATACCATAACTGCATATCACAAACTAAGAGAATAATTGAACAGCTTTATTCAGTGTACTCAGAATGCTCCCCTCATTCTGTTTGCTCTTTTTCCCTTTCTTTGATAGAGTCTCAACTAGCCCTGATTGACCTTAAACTAGTTATGTAGCTAAGGCTGAACTTGAAGTCCTGATCTTTCTGAGATTCTGGGATCATCATAGTTATATACCAAACCTGTTTCCAAAGTCAAATAATACACAAAAGAGAAATTAAGGGCTGGTTTTACTTTCTGAGTTTCAGCTTTTCAAAATAAGCAGATTCCTGTCAAACATTGAGAATGTGGTGCTTAGTTAGAGGTGCTGGTGAGATAGGAAGTGAGTTGAGATAATGGGCCTTGAAGTAAACAGATTAGAAGGGAAAAGAGAACTGGAAAACCAGTGTTGGGAGGCCCAATCTTCCTCGGGACTATGAGAAACTGAGCAGAGGTTGTACATTTGCTACGGGATCCTAACTTGTTCTTCCTGGGTCTCTGACTCTCCTGGGTCTTATACACGCTCTTAACCTCAGCCTAGACTACACCTCTCTTTTACATTCACTTTTATTTATTTATTTTTTAAATTTTATTTATTTATTTATTTATTTATTATGTATACAATATTCTGTCTGTGTCTATGCTCGAAGGCCAGAAGAGGGCACCAGACCCCATTACAGATGGTTCTGAGCCACCATGTGGTTGCTGGGAATTGAACTCAGGACCTTTGGAAGAGCAGGCAATGCTCTTAACCTCTGAGCCATCTCTCCAGCCCTTACATTCACTTTTAATGCAGGGACTCTCTCTAACATCAGTCTGCATTGTCACTTCTGTTTCACACTTGGTTTGTGGCAGGGTCTTACTCTCTAGCCCTGGTTGGCATGGAAATCATGACAGTTCACCAGCCAACCCCTCTTGAGCACTGGCCTTATAGATCAGAGCCAGCATGCCTAGCCCTGTAATCCTTGTCTGCTGTCACCTACCTTACCCCATATCCTTTGCCATTAGTTGTAGTTTTGTAGGTGTGTTTACTAAATCTCCGACTGAAAGCCTTGTGAGGACAAGGACTGGGACTCCATACCTGATTCAGTTGAACTCTGTTATATACTGAATGAACTGGTAATTTGGTCAGAGTCCTGCTTAATGTCTCAGATGGAAAGTGAATTGAGCCTTGGAAAGTATCAGACCGTTCCTTCTAAACCCCTTTTTGCAGAAGAAGAATTCTCCTGCTTGTGGCAGGAGTGTGGCTTTTGCTCTCTGGACAATTCTGCTGACCTCATTCGCCATGTCTACTTCCACTGCTATCACACCAAGCTGAAACAGTGGGGGCTGCAAGCCTTGCAAAGCCAAGCTGACCTCAGCCCCTGCATCCTGGACTTCCAGAGCCGGAACGTCATCCCTGACATCCCTGACCATTTCCTGTGTCTATGGGAACATTGCGAGGTCAGCAGACAGTGCCAGAAATAGGGGTGGAAGGAAGCTGGGGATCTGGACTCAAGAGCTTTCCGGGGTGCCTCATATTTCAGAGACTCCTACTAGCATCTCCCCTCTATTCTTGTGTAACACCTTTATCTTAAAACTTTCCCATTCCCAGAAGGTGATTAGGGAGAGAGCTAAAAGCCCCCTTTTGACATGGGTAAGAGTCCCTCTAACCACTGTGAGTCCTCACCCCAAGTTGCCCTGGCACAGAGTACCTTCGACAATCCCGAATGGTTCTATCGGCACGTGGATGCGCACAGCCTGTGCTGTGAATACCAAGCTGTCAGCAAGGACAACCATGTGGTGCTGTGTGGCTGGAAAGGTAGGGCCACCCATCTGCTCTGACCTCTGCTTTAAACTCTGGAGGTGTTAAGGGTCTGGAGGAGCCAGGGATGGGACCATCCTACAAGACAAAGGCTGCTGGCTGATGAAACTTGGGGGTACCAGAGCCAAGTTGGGGAAGGGGATTGAGGGATAGAACATGATCAGATCTTCCTTCCCAGACTGTACCTGTACCTTCAAAGACCGCTGCAAACTTCGAGAACACCTCCGCAGCCATACCCAGGAGAAGGTGGTGGCCTGTCCCACCTGTGGGGGCATGTTTGCCAACAACACCAAGTTCTTAGATCACATCCGTCGCCAGACCTCACTGGATCGTAAGCAGCTGGAGCTCGTGGGCTATCTTATTTAAAGACGAGAGTATATTCCCAGGGGAGGTGCTGCTGGGAGATCTGTGCCCTGGCCCTCTTCTCCTTTTGGGACCAGGCACCTCCTAGACCTCTCTTAGACATTGGTTAGCACTTACGTTTGTTTGTGGTATCAGTTATCTCAGGAATCCTCACAACAGCCCCATGAGGTAGGCTTCTTATTCCCCTTTTTACAGATGAGGAAACTGAGGCTCAGAGAGGTTAAATCACTTACCTGAGATCATACAGCTAGTAAGTGGTAAAGCTGGGCTTCTAACTCAGGTCTGGACTCCAAATCCCACCCGTAGCTTCCCTTTGACCCTTGGGTGGCTCCCTTCTGTCTGGGATGGCTCCCCCTCCTCTGCCCCTCACTGTTCTCATCAGTCGTCCTTTGTTTTGTCCGCTCCACCCCAGAGCAGCGTTTCCAGTGCTCTCACTGTTCTAAGAGGTTTGCCACAGAGAGGCTGTTGCGTGACCACATGCGGAATCATGGTGAGTGGCCTGCACCCAAGCCTCCCTGCCCTCCCTTTGAGGTCCTGTGAGTCCACAGGTCATAGCTTCTTCTCTGCTCCTCAGTGAATCACTATAAATGCCCTTTGTGTGACATGACCTGCCCATTGCCTTCCTCCCTCCGAAATCACATGCGCTTTCGACACAGTGACGACCGGCCCTTTAAATGTGATTGTTGTGACTACAGGTGAGGTGACCTGGGGGTCAAAATCCAGGGCTTAGGTTTCAGGGTTCTCTCTGCTCTTCAACCCCCTCCTGATTTCTCCTGGCAGTTGCAAGAATTTGATTGACCTCCGGAAGCACCTGGACACCCACAGCAAGGAGTCAGCCTACAGGTGTGAGTTCGAGAACTGCAGCTTCAGTGCTCGCTCTCTCAGCTCCATCAAGTCCCATCACCGCAAAGTGCATGAAGTAAGTGCCAGGTGGGGAGGCTTCTCAGGTGTGAGTGGAGAGCTGACCTCATTGCCTTCTCTTCCTCACCAGGGAGACTCAGAGCCAAGGTACAAATGTCATGTCTGTGACAAGTGCTTCACACGTGGCAACAACCTCACTGTGCACCTTCGCAAGAAGCACCAGTTCAAGTGGCCATCGGGACACCCTCGTTTTCGGTATGTATAAATCCCCACGATACTTTCCTTGTTTTTGTTTATTGCTGTGAGTATTTGGGGGGGTGCCGTGCTCCTGTAAATGTCGGGACACAACTTGTGGGATTGTTTCTCTCCTACCTTTGTGTGGGTTCCAATTGCTGAACTCAGGTCATCAGGCATGCATGGCAAGTATTTACACCCTGAGTCATACGACAGACTCTGTCTGTCTGTCTGTCCATCTGTCTTGATAGGGTCTCTTTATGTAACTCTGACCTGGAACTTGCTCTGTAGACTATGCTAGCTTTGAACTCATGGATATCTGTCTACTTCTGCCTCTTGGGTGCTGGGATTAAAGGTGTGTGCCAACACCGCCCAATGATGACAGACTTTTAACAACTTTGAATTTTATGGTATTTTGATGCCTACCATCTATGTTTAGGCTCAGCCTTAAAAATAATAGTGGAGCAAAGATTATTTTGGGGGGTTTTATTTATTATTATTTTATTTTATTTTGTCCCTGTCCTGGAACTCCCTTTGTAGACCAGGTTGGCCTTGAACTCCCTGAGATCCACCTGCCTCTGCTTCCTGGTGCTGAGATTAAAGGTGTGTGCCACCATACTTAGCTTTTGTTTGTTTTTGAGACCAGATCTCCATATAGCCCTGACTGGCCTAAAGCTTGCTATGGAGACCAGGCTAGCCTCGAACTCACAGAGATCCACCTGCCTCTGCCTCCCAAGTGCTGGGATTAAATGTGTGTGCCACCACCGCCCAGCAAGGCTGTGGGTTTTCTAATGAAAGCTTGGTTTCAGATTCAACAAGTAATGCCAGAAGTCCTGCAGCCAGAGCAAGAATTAAAGGCTAAGGGTCCTGCCTGTGAGCTTCATGGCCTCATAAACTTTGACACTCTGCCTACTACAGAGTCAGTCAGTCTCTACTGGGTTGGGCTTCTGCACTAAGTTTTTCATTTTGAGTCCTCTCCTCTGACCCTTTTCTTAATCTTCAGTTCTGTCACATGGAGTCCTGAGACTTCTTCCAGCTAGTGGATCTGTATCTTCACCCTCTGTCTCCAGGCCATTTCTTCATCCTCTGCTGCTCTGCTGCCTTCTCCAGGTACAAGCAGCATGAAGATGGCTACATGCGACTGCAGCTGGTTCGCTATGAGAGTGTGGAGCTGACACAGCAGCTCCTCCAGCAGCTCCAAGAAGGATCAGATCCGGGAGTGGCACTCAATGAAAGCAGCCTGCAGGGCATTGTTTTAGAAACAGTACTTGCGGGAGCAGGACCTGAGGAAGAGATGGAAGAGGAAGATAGGGTTGAGGGGACAGCCACCTCAGCTTCTCAGGACAACTCCAGTTCTGCTGTTCATACGGATGATCAGACAGACAGCCAAGGCCAGCGAGAAATTGTCTACTATGTGTTGTCCGAAACCCCAGGAGAGCCCCCTCCAGTCTCTGAGCTACCCTCGAGAGCGATGGAAAAGCTTCAAGGAGTACCTGAGAAGCCGGAGGTCCAGATGGCGTGAGGTTGCAGAGCCTGACCTTCTTCAGACCTTGGAGTTTGAGCCAGCCAGGCAGCATTGCCCCTGGTGGGCAGCCTTTGTTTTTGGATGCCTTTAGAAGTGGTGCTGAGAATAGTATGTTCCAATCTGACTCAGGCAACGTCATTCTGTGGACTCTGAGTAATTCCTCCCCTCCCCTCTCCACACTGATGTTTGTGGGGAACCTGAGGAGTAGGAGTCATTGAAGAAATTCGACATGTGTGTTCTCATTAGTCGTGCTAGATGCAGTGAGTAAATGTTTAGTTCACATCGATTCCTGTCTTTAGGGGGTCCATTGGCCCAGGGATGATGAGCGACTGTTCCTTCTGAGAGCCGATTCCTCACTATAAGTTATGCCTTGAGAGGCCAGGTGGTGGAGGCGCACACCTTTACTCCCAGCACTCAGGAGGCAGAGGCAGGTGGATCTCTCTGAGTTCAAGGCCAGCCTGGTCTGCAGAGTGAGTTCCAGGACAGGTAGACAGGCTCCAAAGCTACAGAAAAACCCTGTCTCAAAACTGCCCCCCCCCCCCGAAGAAAAGAAAAGTTACGTGTTAAGAACCAGGTGCCATTTCTCTCTAGGTTTCCTTTTACGTTCCAGGAACACTTGTGATTATCTTAAGGCTCAGGATTGGAGACTGTGTGTATGACAGTTGTTTTTGGTAATAAACCACTTGGGCTGTTACTTATTTCTCAAATTTGGTGGCAGTTTCCTAGGTAACAGATATAGTTGTCTAGAAGTGGGGCTGAATAACTAGGCTTACCCCTTTAGAGACCAGGGTGGTTTCTTTAACTCTCATGTACCCGTTTGAAGTTTGTCCATTGCTTCCAGAGCATCTACCAGCTTTGTGGAAGGAGGCCCAGTACTTGTCCATGGTATAATACTAGCAGTGTTACAGAATGGATATGAACGGCCCTGGGACTGCACCCTTAGTCCTAGTTAGAACCCTGTGCCTCTAGAGCAGGCTGGGTTTCTGGAACTGCAAAGGCTCTGAAGTAGAGGTGGGTTGGGAGGTCACCCAGAGACTGCCAAGTGCTCAGGGGCCAGGAGTCAAGCTAGAAAACTGTGTCTACATTTTCCTAGAGAGTGGATCTATTTTCATTGGATTAAAAATGTTCTTATGAATATTACACATATGTGTTCATTTACTTTTATGTGTATGAGTGTTTTGCCTGCTTGTATGTAAGTGTATCACAGGTGTGCCCGTGGAGGTCAAAAGGTCCTCTGGAACTAAATTACAGACAACTGGGAACTGGATCTGAGTCGTTGCAAGAGCAATCAGTGCTCTCACCTGCTTAGCCATCTCTCCAACACCTTTCATTGGATCCTTAGAGAAGTCGAAACGCCTCAAAATAAGAACTTTTTTTTTTTTAAGTTGGCTGGACAGGATGGCACCTGCCTTTAATCCCAGCACTCAGAAGGCAGAGGGAGGAGGGTCTCTGTGTTCAAGGTCAACCTGGTCTCCAGAGTGAGTTCCAGGGTAGCCAGGGCTACACCGAGAAACCCTGTCCTAAAAAACAAAAAGGTGTGTAGCGTATATGTGAGCAGGTATGTGGTCTGCAGTTGTGTGAGCGTGTGTGGGGGGTAGAGATCGGTGTCAGCTGATGTCTGCTTGATTTTTGAGACAGTTTCAGAGTCTCAAATTCACCTATGACTAGTGCAGTGAGCTCTGGGAATTTGCCTGTCTTCTTTCCCTGCGCCAGTACTAGGTTACTGACATGCCAATCCTGTTTATAGTTTTTATGTGGATGCAGGGGACCTGGACTCAGATCCTCATGTAGGGCAAGCATGTACTGACCAAGCCATCTCCCTAACCCTGCTGAGCCGTTCCTCAGCATACTGCCCTTTTGGCTCTACCAGTCTGGATAAAGGAAATGCTCCCTGCTACAATACGTGGAAGGACGTGCTCTTCATTTTCTCCCAGTCCTGAGCACTGGTGGGCACGTGTGCATTCATTCTCAGCTCTTGACTGGATGTGTGTCAAGTTCCTGCTACCCTAACTTCCCGAAATGCTTGGCCTGTAACTTGGAATTATGAGCCAAATAAACCCTTTGTCCCCTAAGGCGTTTTTAGCAGGATGTTTTGTCACAGCAACAAAATGAAACTAATAGACAGGAACATATATATGTGTGTGTGTGTGTGTGTGTGTGTGTGTGTGTGTATGCGCAGGCCCGGAGAGATGGCTCAGTGGTAAAGAACACTGGCTGCTCTTCCAGAGGATGCAGGTTCAATTCTGAGCACACACACACAGGTGGCTCATAACCATCTTAAAACTCCAGTTAAAGGTCTGCCTAATACCCTCTTCTGTCCTCTGAGCACCAAATGTGCATATGGTGCACAGACACACACGCAGACAAAACACCCATACGCGTAAATTTATAAAAATCAGGGCTGGAGAGATGGCTCAGTGGTTAAGAGCAGTGGCTGTTCTGGAGGTCCTGTGTTCAAGTCCCAGAAACCACATGGTAGCTCAACCATCTGTAATGAGATCTGGCGCCCTCTTCTGGCCTGCAGGTGTACACGCAGGCAAAACACTAAATAGATAACGTCTTTAAAAAAAAATTAATGCCAGGCCATGATGCATGCCTTCCAGCACTGGGGAGGCAGAGGCAGGTGGATCTCTGTGAGTTCGAGACCAGCCTGGTCTACAAGAGCTAGTTCCAGGACAGGCTCCAAAACCACACAGAAACCCTGGCTCGAAAAACCAAAAAAAAAAAAAAAAAAAATTAATTAATAAAAATCTTCTTAAACGGAAAGAGACTTTTGCAAAGAACTCTACATTCTGCAGCATTATAAAACCGCTGACTCTTTTCCTATCAAAGGAGATAGTATCATACAACAGGAGAGGAAGAAATGCTGCTTCAGGGGGCTGGAGAGATGGCTCAGTGGTTAAGAGCATTGCCTGCTCTTCCAAAGGTCCTGAGTTCAATTCCCAGCAACCACATGGTGGCTCACAACCATCTGGAATGAGGTCTGGTGTCCTCTTCTGGCCTGCGGACTTACACACAGACAGAACATTGTATACATAATAAATAAATATTTAAAAAAAAAAAAGAAAGAAATGCTGCTTCAGGAGCCATGAGTGTAGCACTGGTAGAACATTCATTTAAGCGCCTCTGTTAAGTTACTGTGCTGGAGCCGGGTATGATGTCACAGGCCTTTAATCCCAGTGCTCAGGAAGCAGAGGCAGGCAGGTCTCTGAGTTCATAGCCAGCCTGGTCTACAGAGTGAGTTCCAGGACAGCCAGGGTGACACAGAGAAACCCTGTCTCAAAACAAGAACAAAAAACCCAAAATATTGTATATTAGTCTCTGTTGCTATGACAAACAACCTACAAGGTATACAAGGCAAAAAGGACTTGTTTTTGCTCATTTTTTAGAGGTTTCAGGCCATTTTTTTCTGGGCCTGTGGTGGAGGGGAACAGGAGAACAGGGACAAGATACTCTCTTTAAAAGCAAGACCTTGTCTCTGAAGATTGTCGTGTCATAGTTTAAGAAAGGTAACATTAGGCACCCCTTCATGGCCACCACTTCCCTGCCTGTTAGGGAGCCAAGAAAGAGAAGATTAACTTTGTTGCTGGAAGGGAGGAAGGAAGCGTGCTCCTTTTTAGCCACCTCCACTTTCTGTTCTGAGTAGCACCTCCCCAAGTGGCCAGCAGAGGGTGCCCTCCTCGACAAGTTTAAAAGTCTTGAGCAGTCTTGGGCAAGAGCAGTCTCAGAGGACAAAGAATCTGGGTAGTGGAGACAGAGCTGGACTGGTTCCCGAGTCTCCGGGTTAAGTACTTTCTGGATCCCGCTGGACCCCACCACACTCTTTACCATCTTACCAACAGCTTTCACAAACTCTTGTCCAGAGCAATGTTGGTTAGAATAACGTCTAGCCCTAAGCTGAGATGAGAATTATCAACTCTTGCATGTCTGGCCCTAGGAAACTTGCTCTGGAAGTAAACTGCTTGATTGGGGGTGTGGTGGGTGTAGAAAGGACAAATAAATAAATAAATAAATAAATCCTAGGGAATAGGCAGATATGTATCTGGAGAAGTGGGGAGGATCCATTCTGACAGGGAAACACTTGGTATATGGCTTTATTCTAAGGGCGGTGAGGTCTACTGTTGAAACTGGAGCGGCAGCGGGGCTGCGTCCCTGGCACCCAGCCGCCCCCACGGCTAGCTTTACCCGAAATAATTACACGTAAACTGTATTCTTTTAAACACTGCTTGGCCCTTTAGCTCTAGCCCTTACTGGCTAATTCTGATATCCCAATCAACCCATCTCTAATAATCTCTGGGCACCAGTCTTACCGGGAAGATTCTAGCCTACGTCCATCCTGGGTCGGAGCTTCATCGCGTGCGTCTGCCTGGGAGCGGGGCATGGCGTCTCTCTGAGGCGTCTTACCTCACTTCCTCTTCCTCCCAGCATTTTGTTCTGTTTACTCCACCCACCTATGTTCTAAGCTATGAGCCCAAGCAGTTTGTTTATTACTTAACCAATGAAACAGATTGATATATGACACTCCCACATCAGTCTACACTAAGCAAAGACCCACTCTAGACATTAAATGAGAAACCCTGGGGATGGAACCCAGACTCAGTCTTTTTTTTTTTTTTTTTTTTTTTTTTTTGGTTTTCCGAGACAGGGTTTCTCTGTGGCTTTGGAGCCTGTCCTGGAACTAGCTCTGTAGACCAGGCTGGTCTCGAACTCACAGAGATCCGCCTGCCTCTGCCTCCCGAGTGCTGGGATTAAAGGCGTGCGCCACCATCGCCCGGCTCCCAGACTCAGTCTTATACCCTCTGGAGGATTTGAGGTATACACTAAAGTCCATTGACCACTGTTAGTAAGTTACAAGGTCTATCTAGGAATTTATTTTCTGGGAGGGTCTTCCAAATGGGAAAGACTTACAGTAGTGGATCTCCGCCAAGTTAGAAAGGTTTGTATCTTAGCATATTAGGGGAAGGTGGATTGTCTCTGAAAAGAGGGAAGAGTTGGTATAGGGTTTGTATAGCAGTCAGAAAGCCTTGGGTTTGACCCCAGCACTTCATGAAACAGGGTGTAGGGGTCCATCACTGTAATACCAGCGTTGAGGTGGTGGTGGTGGGAAGATACAATTTCAAGGTTGTCCTTGACTATGTAGCAAGTTTGAGGCTAGCCTGGGCTACATGACTACATGAAACCCTGTCTAAGAATAAATAAAAATAAAGTGGGAATGGCATGGCTGTATTCATCTGTAAATCTAAGATCTGGGAGGCTTAGGCAGGGTCACAACTTGAAGTCAAGCTTGGGGTGCACAGTGAGACCCTGTCTAAGAAAACTAAAGACAGGAAAGTGATACTTGGATATAAGTTTGACATGGTAGAAATAATGGGGTCCCTAAGCCCTGGGTCTGAAGCTGGGTTCACCATCAGGCTGGACGTGTCCCCTCACAGCGGAACCTCATGTTTCTGAGTCTTGGTTTTCCTGTCTACAGTGCTGAAAGATGATTCTAACACCAGAAGGAGGTGTAAAGATCTAGTTACATCCTAAAGAAAGTTTTTTTTTTTTTTGTTAGCAGGGCAAAGGTGGCACTCGCCTTTAATCCCAGCACTCAGGAGGCAGAGGCAGGCAGATCTCTGTAGTTCAAAACCAGCCTTGTCTACAAGAGCTAGTTCCAGGAAAGGCTCCAAAGCTACAGAGAAACCCTGTCTCGAAAAAAAAAGAAGAGAAAAAATTTTTTTGTTTTAATTTTGTTTTAGATATTCTCTGTGTGTGTGTGTGTGTGTGTGTGCATGTACACTAACTACAGCATACATATGGAGATCAGAGAACAATCTGAATTTGTGGGAATCAGTTCTTTCATTTGTGTTCTGGAGTTCAAACTCAGGTGTCAGGCTTGGTGGCAAGTGTCTTTATCACCTGAGCCATCTTGCCAACCCTGCTTTTAACTAAGGCCGGCTTCAAATTCACTGTGAAATAAGGGTAACCTTGAACTCCTGATCCACCTGCTTCTACCTCCTTAATGCATTATAACTCAGTAGACTAACTGTGGGTGACAGTAATTAGATATTTCAAAAAAGCTAGTAGATTGGATATACCCAACAAAAAGAAATGATAAATAAATGAGGAGACACTATATGCCATTACTCTGGTGCAGTGGT